AACAAACGTTGAAAATCTATTAAAAGAATTTGTCGTGTTGGGTTAAAATAAATCCATGTGTGCAATGTGACACGAAGCATGACACAGGAGTAACAAAAGAATGACATCAAACAAAACGTTGTAATGATATAATAATGGGTTCGAGCACTATTCTTCTAAATATTTAAAATGTACAAATTCAGCCACATTTAAGGGGGCATGCGGGCGATCCTGTCACTCGCTTTTTTTACCGTTTTCTAGCGAACACTTAGAAATACATATGGTAAATTTTTTTTCGACCACCCAACTTCTAGGTTTTGAGAAAATGTTCTTTTAAATTTTTCCTTCCTTTTTTACTCGACTTTTAAAATTTCAATAACATTTTTGTTTTTCGAGAGATAAGCTTGACTCTTTCATCATTCGACAGACCATATTGAGATGGACGTACAAAAAATTTTCATCACTATCGGATAAGGTTTGACGGACAAATTTCAATTAATGCGAGTATTTCGCTATTTTAGCAACTTTAACCAAGGAAGAACGAGCACAGCTCGATTCTTTTAAACCGTCAACCACTACAAGTTGTAAAGTATGACTAAAGCAAGGAATACGTAATAAATTAACAGAATTATCATTTGCCAATGTGTTAAATATATTTTCAGTATTATCATTTAAATTATTTTCATCTGTCTCTGAATCATCGTCATCTATCCGATCATCATCATCTTCATCATCTTCAAAATAATGCTCAAAACCAGGAACTATCAAACTGTCAAATGCTTTGGCATTATTAGCAGCATTATCGGTTACCAGTCGTACAAGTTTGTTTTCAATATTATAATCCGATGAAATTATTTTTTCAAATTCATTTAGCAAAGCTTCACCAGTGTGGCTACCTGTGATTAGAGGAATAAAGTCGCGTNATAGTTTTATTCCGAGATTAAGAAAACACATTCAAATACATCAAATTAAAGATATACCTGTTAATGGCAAAAATAAGAGAACATATGATTTAAAAATACAATCAATGATTGAATGACCAGTTACAGCGTAAAATGGTCTCATTCTCCGATCAGTCCAGATATCTAGCGTCAATGAGATAAATTTAGCAGTTGTACATATTGTTTTCAATTCACCAATTATTTTATCATATACAGCAGGTATAGATTCTCGACAGATACTTCGACGACTTTGAACATGAAATTTAAAATCAACTTTACTTATTGCTCGTAAAAATGCGGGACGTTCAACAATCGATAGAGGCAAACCGAGATCTATTATCAAATCATTGATTATCATATTGTTTAATTCAATTTGTCGAGGATGTGACAAACCATAGTCACATTCAAAATGAGGTTGATAACAAGTGATATTGCCGTAAATTTGACTTCCAAGTATAAATCGCTCTTTCATCTTGAATTGATGTTGTATGGTCGCTTGAAAACTTTCTTTTGCTGTAATTAACTCGTACTCGCAGTGTCTACCAAACGTACCCGCCACAACTGAGCAGTTGCAGAGGCTCTCATCACTGTGAACGTCAAAACTAAAAGGTATTATTATCTCATTTCATTACAATGTACATATGAATATAGTTCTCCTCAGTAGTCTGTTTTTTCGTAACAGTATTACATAGCAGAACTTTTCAAATCATTGGAGGAGGAATTATTGTACCTTGATAGCACATATTTTATTTTATTTATTCGACGTATAATTAAGCTTTCGAGCATCCCCTGTTAATCGTCCGAATCTAACAATGCACACATATACAAAAAACATCCACTGAATTCAAACACTTATGTAGTTAGCAAGTGAGAGTTAAAAGAAATAAAGGAAAGAATTCGCTACCTTTCTAGTATGGTGGTTTGTCGATATAACGCGACACTTCGCTGATCAAGTTTTGTTTTTTTTCATCGGGAAATCGAAAGGAGCCCATCATCAGACGTAGTACTTCATGCTGATCACGAATTCGATCTTTATTTTGAAAAAAAAACTGAATTTTCAATTAAAAAATTTAAATTTAAAATTTTTGAAAACTTTAATTTTAATTTTCTGATCTAGAGATTTGCGTAAAATAATTTTAAAAATACACTGTCGAATAGAGAATTCAATTCTGTACAAAATGGCTTGTTTTGTTTTGAGAAATATTTCTCAGTCGAGGCACTAGGGCTGCTTCCAAGTTTGAACTCCCAACTCGATTTTAAAGCTTGAGGCACCTTTGTTTGCAAGTGGAGTATCTTCATGAAGGCTAGAAGTACTCAAGCTATAAGTATGAAGTTGTTTGAAGAACGTTGAGTGCCCTTAAATGGTTTGACAAAAAAATGTGTAACAGCGTTACGTTTGTTTTTGCTCTTGTTATGCGAGTAAAAATAGTTAGAAGAAAATATTTTTTACTGCTGAAAAGCTCGTTGGATGCTCGACATGTTTGTGTTTCTTAATCTCGGAATAAAACTATATAGTACATGTAGCCTTTATTTCTGGTTTGTTAAACATGTAAACATTCCTTTTTTTAATCTTTTGCTTTTTCTAAATGAGACATAATGCAAAGAAAAAGCCATCATCTAATCAATACAAGTTCCCTAGCTTGCGCACACGGCGTCTTCCATTTTTCATAAACTTAGTCAGAGTCCTGTCACATACATATTAATTCTGCTAGAAGACCAGTTGTATTTTGTATGTTTCCTTTTCTTTTTCCTTTCTTCTTTAGATATTAACAAGTTCCAAACTGATCCGTAGCAATGATATAAATCTGAGTGCAGAGAGTCAAACAGCTTTTGGGGCGAGAGAAAAGCATTACAACAATGTAATACAAGATTTTAATTGTTTTGGATGTAGTGGGCAGGCTTCAGCTGGTTTTGCTAAGTGATAAACAAATAAATGAATTCAGTCCATAATTTTTTTATCGATAAAATCTGGTTTATTGTGCTGCTTCTAATCAGTTTTATCCGCCATAAAACATAAAGAATTTTGTACAAGGCTATACATCAGAGGTGGGCGATGGACGAGGATCCTCGCCAGGCCTCGCGGAGAATCGCGGAGCGGGACCCACGGGAAAAAATTTTTGTTTCTTAGCGAAAGACGAAATGGAGACGCTGGACGGAATTCTTTTCAGTTTACTTGAAAAATACGTTTGTTTAGTAGAGGACACCTACCTTGCACACTACAGTTTCCTCAAGTGAAAGCTAAGGCTCTAACAGTAATAGTTTTATATTGTAAAGGCTATTTCTATCGTGTTTTATTTGTTCTTCTGTCTTCGTATTATGTAGCTAATTCTGCACTTTCTTCACAACATATGTTAGACATCCTAGTTATTTGGTTTTCTCTTTTACGGAGTTTCTCTCTCATTTTATTGTTTGACCTATTCCTCTTCATTAAATTGTTAACAGAACAATCTATTAAGTCTATCTATTTTCTCTTTCTTTTTCCACTGTCATTCTAATGTTCTTTAGTTTTCCTGACTGATTTTGTATCGTTTTTAAAGAAATGACGTAAAACGAAAGTGTCCGGAAAAATATGTTAACACTAGGTTTATAGAGGGTACTTGAAAGTCTACCAAAAACTTTGTTTCCAAACTATCAAGTCCATCTCAGCCCAAATCCTGGTTGTTCAGTCTTTGACTCAGGATCTAAAATGCGATTTTCTCTGCTTTTCAGCTAAAAAAGCATAACTGAGCTTAAAAATGTATTGAAACATCGGTCTTCATATATGCTCTATCGACTGGCATCCTTAAAAAATGGTTTTTGACAATTTCTAAGCTTAGTCCTCTAGAAATCCTTTTCTGAGCTGGTTTTCAGAAAACTGAGCCGGCCATTTGATTCAGGGTGTCAAAATACGTATAATCGTAAGATGTGAGGCTCTATATGCTAGCTATTACAATTCTGGAGATATGTTTTGGGGTGGGACATTTTGATGTATTTTTCAAATTTCTTCCGTTAGAAATAAGTTGAAGCCTTGGTATTTACAGTATAACTTGTGCTACTTACTCATTTGACATATATGATAAAAAGGCGAGTTCTTAATCGCATGTAGTTCGGTCAGTAGAGAGTCAGAAGGGGGTGGGACAAATTGTACGTCACAAGCCACTGAACGTCAGTAAAATGTCAATTACTCAAAAACGACAATAGCTATAGCTATTGCCGTTTTTGAGTAATTGATGTAACCGCAATTGATTAAAACCCCAAGCTGGTATACCAACTTGCGGTTTTAATCTATAGTGCCTACTTTGGTGAACTTTTTCATGGAAAAACATTTGACTTAAAGTGCTTATTGGCTGCGCAGTAGACTCAAAAGGATGTGGGACCCGATCTTTGAATTTTTCGAGGACCACAAATTCCATCGAAGAAACTAAACAAGATTACGCAAAACTAAGACTACAGATTGACAGAGCAGATAAAATACTGAACAAAAAGCAAAAAAGGTTCCGTTTTAGTATTAACGGAGAACCATGCAGGTCTATTAGCTTAGGTCGAACGGCACAAAAATCATCAGAATCACTCATATGTATATATAGTATTGGTCATCGGTCATTTGTTATTATTAACATCTTAATGTTTAGTGTACCGGACTCAGGAGGATCGATGAAGTGCCGACGAGAAACTTTGTCAATAGTTGACGATGGACGAGGCGGTGACGGGGCAGAAAGCTTACAGGGCGGTCCCCGCAGGGAAGAATTTTTGAAAGCTTGCGAGGTACGGGGGGATGACGAGGCAAGGACTGCACGAGGCGAAGCGCGGGGGAGCTAAAAACAGTACATTGCCCACCTCTGCTATACATGAGCAACGAATATTATTCCCGATTGACGTAGTAGTATCTCTCTTCTTCGTCTGTTGTCTTTAGTTCGATTGTCACCAGCATGTTCCTAATTCGACGAATACACAATCATTTGAGACAGAGACATCTTAGAATCACGTTTTTGAAGTTTTATTAAAAAGTGATTAAACAAAGTAGATTAGCAGCAGGTGGAAAAACAAGGAAAAAATGGAATACAACAAAAGAAAATCGTAAAGGTATGGTTCTGAAATGTATCTCACAATATGTGGCATTGCGAATTTAACATTGATTGGCAATTGAGACCTTGTTTGGTCTGCATTCACATGTAAAGCTGAACCATCCACCACAGCTACCACCATCTGAACCGGAAACTTTTTCCTTACACGCATTAGAACATTTCTTTTGATTGAATGGACAACCGCATGGTCCACCAGCGATTTCATCTAAAACAGCGAAAAATGGCTTTTTTGTTCATTTTTCAGCGGAAATGATCTATCTTGCAGAGCTTCGTGTAGCTAGAGAACGCGTCGTAGAACCTTCATTCTGGTCTCAAACGAAACAGCGAAGTGAGTTCTATATATTTCAGTAAAAAAATCTCATGCCGGTACAAAGCATCTGGGTGAAAAGGCTTCTAGAAAATCAGAGAGTTTTCACGGAATTGTCTTTTATTGAAAATCACTTTTTATAAGTTAATTTTCGCGCACAATTCAGATCTGACATTTAGACACGTACGCGAGAATGTTTTATGGGGTTTCTAGAGAAATTGTCAGTCTTTGGAAGGTTTTAGGAGATTATAGTGGATTTCAGTTTGCATATGAAACGTATGTCTTTCGCTCCTTTCTTAAATAGTTTGTCGACACTACGACAGCTCGTTCCGCTACTGCGGCTTAGAGACGTGATAATGTGTTGAAACGGGTAAACTTGACAACCGACATATGGGATTATCTTTCATTGTTTATTTAACTGTTGAACATTTCTCTAGGTTAAACAAAAAAAACAATTCCAGATTAAATATAATTTGGAAACACTGTCCAACACCATACTAAAAACCGGCAAAATACTTAATGAAATAAATGTAGTTAGGAAAGTCAAACAAAGATTCACTTTTTTCAACGGCTTGATTTAGACTTTCTGTTTTGCACTGTATCAATCACCTTAAATTGTGAAGAATCTGTTGCTGACGAGACGAGTTTGCATGAAATTGTATTCTCATCAGTTTCTCTAGAAATCCCATAAAACATTCTCGCGTACGTGTCTAAATGTCAGATCTGGATTGTGCGCGAAAATTAACTTATAAAAAGTGATTTTCAATAAAAGACAATTCCGTGAAAACTCTCTGATTTTCTAGAAGCCTTTTCACCCAGATGCTTTGTACCGGCATGAGATTTTTTTACTGAAATATATAGAACTCACTTCGCTGTTTCGTTTGAGACCAGAATGAAGGTTCTACGACGCGTTCTCTAGCTACACGAAGCTCTGCAAGATAGATCATTTCCGCTGAAAAATGAACAAAAAAGCCATTTTTCGCTTGGACAGTATTTTGCATATAACTTTTGTTCCGAAAAAGATGAAGAGTTGGCGTTTTCACCATTGAAATCAGCGTCCAAAACTGCATCTAGCAATGTGTGTCGCGCCGATGGCGTAATTGGTCGATGTAATGCTGGTATATTCCCTGTGGATTAACCCAGGGATCAGCAGCTATTTTTAATTTCATTATTCAATTTTTATTAAAATTCAACGTTTATAAAATACGATTTTCATTTTCAAGAAAACAATAGATAAACAGCGTATACTGTAACATTAGAGTCAAAACTAAAAATACATATTTTTGTCAGAACTTTATGCACGATTTGTTGGTTAGTTAAGGAAAATGCATGCTAAGAGTGTAAAAATCTGATGAGTGAGCCTGTCAACATTCGTGGAAATACAATCGATTCATTTTTATTGCATGATGTTTGCTGTTGTAGTATAAAATTTTTAAATAAAATTGTTTTTTTGGTTTTGTTTTCCATAAATCTTTTTTTTCTGTTCCATAGACGAATCTAAAACGTCATTTCATTATGATGCAAAAACAACTGAAAAAGTTCGTTTTGATACAGAAGCAATTGAATTGAAAGATCGTGATGGTGGTGGTGGCAATAATTCAAGAACTGCTTTGCGAATACGTCGTCAACAATCAAGCGATAGCAGTTTAAATTCATCACCACGACAAAAGACGGGAAAGATACGGATTAAAGAAGCCAATGTACTGATGGAAAAACAACCACTGTCAAATCATCAGCAAAAAGATGCTTCCAATGAAGATTAGAAATCGAGTTTAAAAAAGCAAAATGAAAAACGATAAATAATACAGCACCTATCCACGATCCTTGAGGAACGCCTTTAAAAAGAGCAAAAAGGTATTATCAAAAAACTTATCTTACTTTTCTCTTTTGTTTGAATAGGAATGATTCATCTTTCTCACATTATTTCATTGTGACAATTGGATTCATGCTCATTATTATTCTAATTTACTTTAGTCCGCTGCTTCAAAACTAAACTGTACGGCTGGTCCACGTAACTCGAGCCTTCGCTGATCACGTTTTTCAAAAAAATTATTTTAATCTGAAACCTTCTGGAA